CAGCTGACACGCTACAAGGTAATGACCTGTGTGAGTGTGTTGGTTCTCAGCGGCGTGTTGTTGCTGGTGGCCTGTCTACACACGGGCGCTCTCTACGGACTCAGGGCCTCCTCCGGGCCGGCCTCGAGGACTTGCGCCCTGACGGCACCGGACCAGACCGGGCACACTACTGGTAAGTGGCACAGTGGCTCTGTAAATTGTATAGCTTTATAAACGCCCCTATCAACACTATTAGGTTACTTAAGAGGTGAGGTATCTGAAATTAATATCCGCCTCCAATAAGACTGAGCCGAAATGGGTTGAGAACCTTGAAAACTCCTTAAAATGACCCAAGTTCAAGAATGGCTGGTTTGGGATTTGAATCAGTTCAATCCGCTTGGTAGTCCAGTACAACATCAACTGAGCTAACGGAGTGCCCTCGGCGAGCCTGATATAATCTGGCGCGAGAATCACTCAAATTGGGCGGTGTTATCCTGTTCGTATGTTAAACTTTTTTGTTGTTCTTGGTGTTTAGCAGGTGTTGCAATATATATATAACTTGTTTATGTTTATGTTCATAATTGTCTGAGAGGAACCAATTGATTATCACGGTTTTACTCTTCCATGAACACATTTTAATTTTTTTACAGAGGACATAGCGTCTTGACACTCCCTGTCAGGGCCAAACCGGGCTGTGTGGGATACACAGCGTCGGACTGGATAAGATGTCTTCACCATGTTAGGATTGAACTCACTTCTTTTGCTTGTATGGCTTAGAGCCGACACTCTCCCTCAAGTGCCAGATCTGAAACCACTACTCTTTGTATTCGTCTCTCGGATGCTTTGAAAAAGGCCTTTATTATCTTGGTCTTTACACTTTTTCTGTTCAAGTTGTCTATGCATTGCGCCACATTACATTTTAAAGAAAGAAACGAACAGAATGTAAATATGTAGTACGTGAAAATATGCCGCTTAATTACGTAAAGGCAACACCCCTCTTTGCAAGGGTATTCTGCCCCCAGGCGGAGTGACCGAGGACCCCCCCTCCCCCCCTCTTTCCATTCCCGCCCTTTTCCCCTGTTCCTGCCCTCTCGGGGTGAATGTGCCGAGAAACGTTTATCTTCATTCCTCCCCTGTACATAAACAAACGTTATTCCCAGACTCTGGTCTGGTGCATCATCCTTATGAGGGTACCGCTAACGCTACGCAATAAATGGCGAACGTTAATGTGCTACGGGGAGTTGTTATTATTTAAAAATACATATATTTATTAAGTTGTACTCTGAATAGTATTGGCTGACAGATCATCCTGTTTTCTATGTTAATGTGGAAAAAATTACGAAAGCAATAGTATGACGACGACTGAAACGAGCTCTGAAAATGCAAGTGTAGTAGCCAACAGTGTATATAATGTATCAAGTGTGGGTTGAGAGAATAGAGGGACAGAGAGAGAGGGAGACAGACAGATAGACAGACAAACAGACTGACAGACGCGAAGGGCTCCTTTACTTAATTAGGTATCTACCAAATTTAGGCTTCTGCGACTATTTTTTTAATCTGTCAAGCTGCGTCCTAAATATAGAAACTCGAAAAAAAACACGTTTTGTAACAGTCTACAAATCAAAACAACTTTCAGTTATTGTCTAATGACTATATAATTGTGTCATGTCGGTGCGGTAGTCTACCCTTATTTTTATTGTCCACGACTGACCGACAAAACCTTTGGCCAACTGTTTTATCGTAGTGAGGCACACCGCTAACAGATGAAGCACACAGCTAAATGAATCGAATTGTGTCAATAAAGACGTAACTCATTGATAATCAGTGACAATTTAAGTCGAACCGCACGTCATAACAAAATACTCAGCCGACCACCCACAAAGGAGCAAACCGACCCAAGTCCATGTGGGCTGAGGGAGAGGGAGAAATGAGAAAGGGGGGGGGG